GGCGTCCTTCCCCATGCACACCAGCCTCGCGACGGTTTGCGAAGTCTTCCGATTCGTTGAGATGTGCTGTTATTTTTTCGAGCACCTGGCTAATTTAACCGCATCGTTACTCGTTTGTCGATTAGGTTAAAATGGGCTGTCAGATTTCTGAGGTTAGAAACAGAGCTTAGGTTGCACACATTTTTGTGAAAAGGTGGAATTTTATAGATATGCGGTTTATTCTCGCTGCCTTGTGGTTATAATTTTTAGCTAAGGCTTCTTTAGGTTGGCGTGGCCAGTCACTATCTCAACCCACGTACAGTCATGAATTCCAACTCAGCTCCTCGTTTCATTCTACGCTGGTTCTTACACGACTTCGAAGTGGTCACCTTCTCTGAAGCACATAGAAATTTGCTTCTGCTGATCTTTTCTTCTCCACCTAGATCTCTCGTACCGCCTGGACTCCCATTGACAAGGTTACAATTACGAGATTGCAAAACTGTCTGCACGTAACCTACTGTTTCCCTGTTGCTTGCACACCTCATGATACGCTGATGCAGCGACCACAGTTCGGACTAGTGGGAATAGTGCTCAACTTTAGCACCTAGTTATCGCTGGTTACTTGGAGTCCCAGTATCAGCCATTCCTATGCTGTATCCCTTCCGACAACCTCAACCTGGGCTACTGAACGGAACACCGCCAGGCGCAACCTATGCCTTAGCTGACTGCACTCCTGATGCTGCTAGAGACGCTTTCCGCTGCCTGTTTACTACGTTACCTAGAAGCATTACCGAATCAGATATCATCGCGGTTAGGTGAATACACAGGTGCTCGTTTTCTGATATTTTTGACACAGTCTCGAGCTCCCACACTTTGGTGACTATGTATTACAAGATTGCACTTATCGTCATCTGTTTCTGAGCCGCATTCTATCCATCAACGCGTTAACGCGGATGTGTCAAGTAGCCTCCTCTGGCAGTAAGTGAGCAATGCACTCAAACAGTCCGCATCACTGTGTTTAAGTGACATGATTCCTTCGCTGATTGCTGCTCGTTTCAAAGAACTGCGTCGAATCGAATCACTTATTACTTCGCTGTATATTTTCCCGCAATGACTGCTAGCAGTTCTCTCCATCGGTAACCCAGGGACTGTGTCTACCATCGACGTAGTCAGCTTACCTCACTGTGTAGCCTCATATAGTTCCACTCAATCGCTCTGAGTGCCTGGTCCTTCGATGGGGTAAGGTATCGATTGCTAAGCCTTGTGCGCTATCTGTCATCACCACGAAATTATTTGAAATATTGGTATTTCAAGAGACTTTTTCGCCTGTTATGATGCTCGCCGAGCTGGGCAACCTGGTTACATACGTTTCATCACTATTCGTGATGACATCATCAGTGCAGGAGCTGGTGGAAAACAAACCTTAGGTTTGCTTTGGGTGACATAACACGACTTTTACGGAATCCGACTTAGCTGGGTCAACATATCAAAAGACTAGGGTCTTGACGACAAGCTAAAATAAAGTCCTGCGTGATCGAAAATCACATTTCATGAAATTGGCTCTGATTGAATTACTGAGCATGAAACCTTACCGAAAGTTTTTGTGTTACCATATATTGTTAAAAGCTACTATTCCTTCTCGTTGGTTGATTTCTGCCAAACCAACTTTAAACGCTGATGTCCCGAAGTTGTAGTAGACACATAGTCATGTAACTGACTTGAATTGTTCTTATATGCAGCACCTACGACGCGATAAACTTATTTGAATTCACAATATAAGCCCATCTGTATATCAGACACATCACGACCAGACGAGCTATCGGCGGAGGGAAAGACAAAGCAGAGTGAGCGAGCTGGTATAAATGCCTTGAGGACTAATCGTGTTTGGGAAATGGATCTTTATAGTGATACATAACTCCAACAGGCACCCTCAACTAACTCATGACATTGGTCTTGCGAAGTTATCCAACACTGAGACATACATGGGCAATACCTGTGCTCTCAATCACGACCACGGACTTTTTCCTGCTCTTTGGTGTGGCTCGCTTTCATTCTCTTTGTCTGTCAATGCCATATACCCTCCAGTTTTCTTTGGTCGCACCTTTTTCCGCAGTGTGCTGCAACAAATACAGTCGGACAGTGCCACCGTTCTTGATGTTCTGTCTCCAGTGGTTTAGTGCGCATGCACCGATGCTCTGAAGTTGCACCTGCGTGCACTGCTGAGTCGACCGGCTCTATCGATGTATACTTCAAAATATGCTTCATATCTTTAAAGCACAGCTGATGTGTCGGGTCTACACACCACATTTTTCACTGACACCAAGCTTCCTTGCCTGATATGATCTGTCAGGTCACTTATACAGGTGGTGGCCAAACCATGGACGATGTTATTAATCGAATTCGTAAGACCCTTGAGGGCCCCAGTCACACGAGGAATCAGTGAGGGCTTTATTTATTAGTTACAGGTTTGTTGGACAATATCGCATTGTTATCAATGTTATTATACGAATCAGAAGTACGACTATTGCGTTTTGAAGGCACGATGAGTCTGCCTGTTTCCAAAAACTGTTACCTGCGTAATATTATTGGGACTCGTCTGCGCCAGCTAGCGAGTAGTGCAAGTGACCCGTTTGTCAGTAGCACCTTTATCATCAAACTGGACTATCTGTTGGACTCCACCCCCTCTCTTCTCTGGTCCGTCCTTGACACACCTGCTGACTCTGGTGTGCATTCTTTGGCGGGTTTTATTTTTGCTGGTTGAACTCAACTGCCAGTCGATAATAGATGACGTGTTTACGAAGAGGAACATGGGAATCGACCAAATTTTGCTAATAAACCATATTATTTCACGTAACTCATTTACGACGTCAGTATCTCCCTTGTGGTTTGCTCCTACCCACTGTTTATTATTACTCCCACCATCTCATGAATCCTTCCTCGTATATCCTTCTGCATTCTCTCCCTTCATTTCCTCGCCAGTTGTCGGTATTCACATGCTGATGCGATTCACATCAACTGGGTCCATCACGCTGCGGTGCCCGGATCATATTGGGCCAATCGAACACACACCGAACACAGATGCGTTCGTTATTCATTTTACCTGACTCTTCAGGGATCGAACATCCATAGGGCATGATGTTCGACCTGTTAGCCAAAAACTACAACGGCCGAGTCACACAATTTCTCAAGTAAATTGATGGGCAACATTTCGTTCCGGTATTTATAGAAAATCTTAATGTGGTCGGCAAACAGACATGATCTGCTATGTTTGGTTAGCAAGCTGATATCATTAATATAAAGTAGCAACAACGAAGGATCAAGTGCGCTTCCTCGAATCAGATCACTAGTCGTTGGCCGAATACCTTTTGAATATCCAGGAATAACTGCATCACTGGAGTCAGTGGCTGTAGTGATTTAACCCAGATAGTGCGGTCGACAAGTTGTGCAGTATGGTCTATCGAGAAACGAGTGCTAGAATTTGTCAAGCAGTCCAAGACTTCACTCCACTTTTGATTAGTTTTTCGAACGGTCTAGAAATAATGGAAATGTGGTGCATAGGTTGGTAAGTTGCGACTTTCTGTTTGGTACCACATTTATAACGATGGTTTGTAGATTATGTTTATCACTGATCCGAGAAATGGCTGGATCCCAACGATAAGTTCAACATGTTAAACAAAAGTGAAAGTACGTCTTTCCCTCCTACTTGATTGTCAAATGAGTGATACTATCGGAATCGAGCTTGAGCGATACTTTGGCGGTTTTCCTTGTTTGTTGTATCTTTGAAGGAAACGTCTCGGTATTGCGTAACACGCTTGTTGTTGTAAGCTTTAGAGTGAATATGTGAGGTCAGTTTCCATGCTCATGTAAGCTGCAATGAAGGAATTGAACACTGCCCTACTAGCGGGTGGGCAGATCAGTCCTATCTTCAATCTTACTATGCGGGGATTTTACTCATTAATTGCCTTTGTATGCCATAAAAGACTTAATCCACATCACTTATGTACGTTTGGCACCAAAAGTGCATAGACCGACATAATGTTGTTTATCATCCATTCTGAAGTGTTTATGTCATGACCTTCGCTGAGCAACCCATTGACACCGCGCGATGCTCCTCATGACATCCGTAGGTGTTCTTGCGCTCATTCCCTACTGCATCGAACTCAATCGTTACTTTTTCTCCAGTATCACGGTGCGTGCAACTGGATATCGTTTTACTTTTCACACCTCTTATCCGCCGGCTTGGCGACCGCGACCACGGCGTTATCATTGCCGTATTTGGTGAGCCTATTTTACAAACATTGTTGCGAATTGTCAGGTTCTCCGAATGGTGACATTCCAACTCATGGAGCAGGTGTCCACAAACACAATACGCTCAGTTGCTCTCATCACACTGACCACCATTTTACAGAGACGATCAATTGTCCTGCTGTTTATGAAACCTCGAGATTGTGATGCTTTGCAGACGATAAATGGGTATCATCGACAATTGTTGGCCGGCCTGTAGTCTAAAGGTAACGAGCTTGTTTTGTAATCTGACGGCGCGGATTTGAGCCCGCGTGGGGGCAAGGCGACCCTCGCAGTATTCTTAACCCATATTCGACCGGTGGTGGTTGCGCGCCAGCGAAGCGTCGGTACTGCGTGCCGGTGTACTGTTGATGCGTTTCGACAATTGTTGCTGCACGAGTGAGGCTCACGATGGCTTCATCGTAGAGTGGAAACCACGTAGATTCTAGTGTTCCACTCGGTCTTCTTTTAAACGCAATAAACATGCTCCAGCCAACTAAATGTCTTCTATTTGTTGATCAACCTCCATTGTTGGTGCATACTTCGACGGTTTGATGGCTTGTGTAACTCAGGTAATCGATGTAACCAACTCTTTTTCCGGTTCCATTTCTTCCTTACCAGTTGCATCTTCACGTTACATTTGGCACGCCGGTTGTCGTGATGAGTTTATTTACTGTATTTGCTTTAGGAATTGTTAACCGATCTGGGTTTGATCCTTAATGTGTTTCATTCGACAGATTGCGGTACTTGCCGACCCTTCTCTACGAACTCAATGGAATTTCACCGATTCTCTGCACCCTGTGATCACATCACGGCATCCGATTTACGTGCACGCCAGCGGTCAGTCGTCGCAGCCCAACAACTACTTTCTCATTCATCCAGATTCCCAGCTCTACCTATCTTCCATTAACAGTCCCCCTCCAAAAGTTCTCTTCATTGAGACTGCAGTTCAAAATGTTGCATCGCGATCCCATCCGGCCACCCCCACGCTTGTTTACATGCGCCATGTGTCGCGCCTACCGGATGGACCAGAGGATGCAACCGATCCCTCTTTGTTTCGAAGCTGGTTCAGTCATAATTTGAACAAACGGGCCTTCGATACATCTAGTTTCGCCAGAATAAAGGCATACAAACAGCCAACCGCAGTCGCGGAAATCCAGCCTGTTACCCATTTCAAAAGGATCAGCCCATCCAAACTTCCTGCTGCGCTGTCACTCAAGCGCGGTTGCGTTGGCCAACCCACATCGCCAACCAAATCTCAGACTCCATTTGTACAGCGGACCTTGATCCGAAAACAGAGGCGTAGACTCAACAGGCGAAAACGATAATTCGCGGTTGATGTCAGCCCAGCTTTTGTACAGATAATTTTCAAAGAGTTACATCTTTCTGGATTGTATATTCAGCGTTCTGGTTTCACCGCGCCATGTCTTTTTGCAAACAAAGGATTCGCCTTTCTACTTCATTCCTGAATTAAACTTCAGAAGCCCTGCTCACAAAAGGACCTTTGACATTGCTCTAAAAAGTGATAAACACAACATCCGTTTCGCACACAGTCAGTCGCAATTCCCTTAATTCTACTGGTCGGTCGGTAACCAGCCAAAGCAATTTCCAGCCGTTCGTAAACATAAGTCTTAGTTTTTTGTTCCTACACTGTCTGGCAGAAAGTGTGGGCGCTGTCTGTACGTTTTCGGTCTTTAGCCAGGCATCTAAAGTTTGTCGGTAAATATCCTGGTAACCTACAGACCGATCAGGCATTTCCAGCCATGAGAAGAACCAGTTGGAGATTTCGAACATACGAATCATTTAGAGTTTAGTGTTGGATTGTAAACGACACCGAAGTTTCCTCTACGAGTGATGCTGGTGCACTCGTCTCACGCAGTGATGGTGTATCACTTTCAACTCAAGTGATATTATGCGCTCTTTTCCACAGCTACGCTTGTGGTGTGACCCGCATAATGGTTGCAACTGTGCCCGTAAACATACATCCTATTCAAAGCGTACTGATGTCTCGTTGCACTCGTGTTTTCAATGTGCGCGCCTTAAAGAGTCGGAATAGCGCTTTTTTTCTAGCCTTACGTTACAACTATATCAGCTTTGTGTGACCATGTACAATTACCATGGGTAAAGTGGGAATGCAGTTGTTATACATTGAGCATTCTAAAAGTCACTGGGTTCCAGTTACACTTCGCTTTGCCTGGCGCTTTTGCTATTGGATAGTATACCGGTCGCTCATGACTTTTCCCAATACTTGGGGTGCTTCTGATTCACCTACTAGCTGAAAAGTGATGCGTTTACCGTCTTTATTGGGGGGCGTTACGCAAGCACCCATTGTGTCTGAAACGCCTCTGATCCGTTTTTCACCCCGTAAGGACATTAAACCCGGCTTCTTGTGCGGAGAATGCAAGTAGATGGAGAATTATACGAAGCTGATGGTAAACAACCCTCCGCGGCCTGGCCACTGCTCGCAAGAAACGAGCAGCTGCGTTATGTTCCGTTATCCACGTGATCGCTTCCACAAACGAGCAGGAACAGGTTTCAGTGTTCTTTTCATAGGAAAAGCGCACTGTTTATATAACATGAAGGCTGATATAGACACGTGGCTACCAAAACACACTATAGCACCAAAACTGAGCGGCGAAACATGGCCAATAGGGATCAAGCAAGCTAAGCGTCATTCGGATCCACACAACGGGAGAAAAGTAAGAGTGTTTAGCGTCAGAGTGAAACTATGATCCGCCAACGAAAGACTGACTCTAAACAGCCAATAGGGCTATCCAAATGGCACGTTGAAAGAAGCGTTAATAGGTAAGCGCAACAGAACGAAGTCCGCAGTTATAAAAGTTTACGTATTCGTAGCGGAATCATTATCCCTCTTCTAACATATTACCTGTCACAATAATATTAATCATATACACGTGCTTTTATCCTGCGTAATTCATAAGCGTTATGCCGGACTGATTGCAAAGACTCCTGTACAGAACGAAAACTTTGCTCTTTGTGGATTGAACCCTACACGCATGAGACGATCGCTAACGATAATACGCACCGGAATCTAAGTGTAAGAAGTGAAAGGTTGGCTTTCAGCAAAAAATTGCGCAGCCCCGATTGAAGCTGACGACTTGCAGATTTCTCATAAAAAATACATACAGAATGAACTACGGGGTTTGGGGGATATGTGAGGCCACAGGAGGCGGGAGTGTAGCTTACGTGCACTCGGCATCCGTAATTTTGCCGTGGAATGCGTTCGCACATCCCCCATCAGGTTCTAACATAACATTTCTCGACCGTTTTACTTCATGGATAGGGAGGAAATATGAAGCTAACACCATCATAATTACATATTAGCTGGATTTGAGAAACCCTTCAACTATAGCGCCGCAACACATAAAAATAAGGCATACGAAAAATATACTAAAAATTATAGAATGCTAAAACAGGCAACACGCTACCAAAAACATATTAGGTGTCAAGAGAGATAGTGGTTAGTGGGGTAAAAAGCGGGATGGGGGAGAAAAGAAACTCACGGCACAAACGCCATTGTGGTCGGCTTCTTACCATGTCAAATAGTTTATCCAACCAGAAGTGTCCTTCGGACCGACGCCGAATTCGAAGGGAGGAATTTCATCCATTTAAACCAAATCATCCTTCCTCTTTTTCCATCCACACCCTAGACGTGCAAACAACGCACATCGCGGGAGGACTGCATGCGCAACACGTGGCCCAACTATCGAAGCCTGGTGCGTGATATAACGCTGCTCTTCCTGCACCGATTACGCGACGCCGAACACTCATTGCTCATGCGGTGTTCCCACCAGATGTGAGCTAAGCTGCGAAGGCAGCGATGATCGAACGTGACTAGCCTCTTTATATCCGTCGACTTAATGGGCCAGGTTTCGCAACCATACAGTATGGTTGAACGGACGGTTGCATTATAAACTGTCTGCCAAACGATACAGAGATTGCAATGGGCATTGCACAAAGATGAGGTTCATAACTTAAAATGGTTATACGCTTGGACCTTTACAGGAAGGATTCTCCACTTTCCGTCATGCTTCCGCATTCACTCTAGGTTAGGAGGGAACACCAACGCACATGTTTGCGCGACAATGCTTACCAGATTTATCTGCCTGCCAGTTTTCCTTAATTTCCTGATTATAAGTAAGTAGCAAGCTACGGCAATGCTTACGTGGATCCTATTAACTATGGAGCCTCATACGGAATAACCAAGTAAGGTCTCGCATCTACTGGTTTGTTAGGTATAACGATATATTTAGTGGACAATTAGGGCATAAAATTGCTCATATCCTCTGCCACGAAGAAAAAATACGTGTTAAACTATTCTGTTGAAATGCCCGCAGTTTTACGATTATCGCGCGCATTCCAGAATTCGCGGGGTAGGAGAATCCCCGCTACCATGATCATACCTATAATGGCGTCTCGGGAATAAAACTTCATATATATATATATATATATATATATATATATATATATATATATATATATGGTGCTCAGTGGAACTCCGCTCGCTGAACAAGATAAGTTGCATGAAGCAGGTGCTGGGTGGGCAACGCCGCCTCAGCGCCACTTCACTAGAAGTCGGATTTTCAATATCCGATCGCCTCCATGGCCTGCTTGTGGTTGAACCAACGGGCATCAGCGCGCGATTGATCACTGTTCGCTTACGACTCGGAAGAGGTAATTTTTCCACTTTTATAAGCAGGTATAGTCCGACCATGTGTTATCCTGATGACACGCGTGATCAATTCTACACTCAGCTATCCTCCGTGATACGGTCTGTGCCGAGGAGCGACTGACTATTTCTGCTGGGTGATTTCAACGCGCGCGTTGGGCGTGATGCATCAGCGTGGACAGATGTTATCGGTGCGCATGGCATTGGTTTAGCGAATGCGAACGGTGACAGGCTGCTCTCACTGTGTGCCGCTCACGGCCTGACGATCACAAACACTCGGTTTGCACTGAGTGCGAGTGATATAGCAACCTGGACGCACCCACGGAGTGGTCACGCTCACCTGCTCGACTATGTCATCGTACGTCAGCGTGATATTCATGAAGTGCGCATGACACGTGTACTGCGTGGAGCTGAGTGTGGCACTGATCACAAATTGGTAAGGACGAAACTGTACATATATTTTCGTAAATCTATGTATTGCACTCCTGTCGTGAATCGGCGTAAATTTAACATTTCTCTCCCTCGGTACAGTGGCAAAACGTATTGAGCTGAGGAACGGGTTAACTGCACGCCTGTGTGATGTGGACTGCATAGCCACAGTGGGCGACCTGTGGCACCACATTCGCGACCAGGTGACAGCTGCTGCCGAGGAGACCATCGGGCGCGCAAACTGTGAGCGGCCTGATTGGTTTGATGACAACAATGTGACGATTGACGCATTGGTGTCAGAGAAGAATGCAGCATTTGCTGCACGTGTGGCAGACCCCAGTGACTTGGGGAAGAGTAGTCAGTTTCGCAAACTTCGACGGCGACTGACCCGAGAGCTCCGTCGCATTAAAAATGCATGGTGGACGGAGAAGGCGAAGCAGATAGAATGCTACGCCGAACACCGCCAACACAAGGAATTATTTGACTCCTTGATGGGCGGTGTATGGATCGAGACTGGAGCCGCTGAGGACACTGATCGATGGTAGTTCAGGCGCTACCTGCACCCAGACTGCAGACATAATGCAGATCTGGCGAGAACACTTTGACTGCCTCTTGAACAACCGTTCAGAGATCGACGGGCGTACATTGAACGGCATCAAACGGCACGATGTGAAGACGAGTCTGACGGATACGCCAACACTGGATGAGACGCAGAGAGCAGTTGCTCAGCTGCGAAACGACAAGTGTGCCGGGGCCAACAAGATCCCGCCTGAAGTATTGAAACACGGCGGACCCGCGTTGTTGACTGCGCTGCACCACTTGGTGCAACGCGTGTGGATTGAGGAGGAGGTTCCTCCTGAGCTGAAGGATGCCCTTGTGCTACCACTGTCCAAGGGTAAAGGGAGCGAGCAATGTTGCACGAGCTGAGTTTTGTGGCGGACGTATTTACTGTGCTCCGGCAGTTTTGTGTGATTTCTTCTTGCCAAGTCAACGGAATTTGGATTATTATATACTGTTTTGCTGGAAACTGTGCACTGAATGTATTGAAACAAGAATTTTGGACAAATTCACAACTGTTTTTACAAAAACTGTGACAAACGTTTTCACTTGTCCAACATGTACCGTGAGTCTGACTAAAGTGGTTTTTCCGTAGGGTTTGGGCCACGTTTTTCTTTCATTTTATATCCATCTTATGTAGTTCTTTATGCTCTTACTTTTAAGTCATCTTACGCGCATGAATTTCGTGGGATTAGCCTACATTTATTTTTTGTATGTC